GGACGTTTCCTGATAGTTCTGGCGGTCAGTCTTAATTTGTTTAGCTGGAAGCATTTGCCAAAAAAAACTGGTGCTGGTAGCGAAAAAAACTATGGGAAACTATGCAAAAAACGCATCTCTGCGCAGACAGCTCATGCGTTGGCCAATTATTTTTTTTTTAAATTTTGCAGTGTTCTGAATTTTTTAGCCTAAAGTTTTCGGATTTTTGTGTTTCAAACAACCGCGTTTTTATTATGTTCGTTCTTTTTTTGGTGCGGCAAATGGCATTATTCTTCTGCTTCTTCGCGAATCCATTTTACCTTTTTGATCCCATTTTGCTGTTTAAATGAGTCTTGTCGATCATGGAGTCCTCTAACTGTGCGTTATTATACGCTTTGTGCTGAGTGCAACAGCTGCACAAAACGCATTTTGTCATGGTCTGTGTGTGTTTGTGTGTATGTTTGTATATGTGTGTGGGTGTGTATGTATGTGTATGTGTGTTTCCGTGTATGTGTTTGTATGTATATGTGTGTATGTGTGTTTCTGTGTGTGTATGTATGTATGTGTATGTGTGTGTATGTGTGTTTCTGTGTACGTGTGTATGTTTGTGTGTGTGTGCGTGTGTGTGTATGTGTGTATGTATGTATGTGTATGTGTGTGTGTTTCTGTGTGTGTGGATGTTTGTATGTGTGTGTGTGCGTGTGTGTGTATGTGTGTTTCTGTGTATGTGTATGTATGTGTACGTGTGTATGTGTGTTTCTGTGTATGTGTGTGTATGTGTCCGCGCAGTTCAGTTTGTTTTTAGTAGAAACGATAAGCATTTGTGCCGCAGTGAGATTTTTTCGGGTTTTCTTTTCAGGCAGTTTTTACAGCTATTCGAACCGAATATCTGATCGAACCACCCTGTGGTGAGGAACTCACGGACTGGGTGCACACCGATGAAGAAACTCGTGTTGCATATATCAGTGCTGTGGTGGAAGCATTAAAAGATAATCCACAGCGAATGCGCGAAATGCTTGTGAACGATATTCGAAGAAGTACAGCATCGCATAAACGAAAAGCGAATCGTCAGGTGTGTAAAAAATTAAGTTCTACTTCCGATAACGAGTTTTTTCGCTATAAATTTGAAAAAAAAATTAAAAAAAAAAATAAAAAATTCAGTGATATCTTTGATGTGAAATACAGAAATGTTATTGTGAAATGAAGCAGCTAAAAGTTAGATTGAGAGTTTTTGAGAGTTTAACATTTACCTGTACATTTTTCACTTTACTTCTCCGCCTGTACAACTGAGAATTTAAGATTGAGGGAAAAAAAGGGTGGGAAGAGGAAATGTGTTGTTTTTCTTAGCATGAAGTATGGTGAGTCCCCCATCTTCACGTCTCAAGCGGTTTTTGGTTGAGAAAACGATTGAGGGCATCGGCCCCAGAAAGGCAAGTGAAGTTTAGGTTTTCTTTAGGTTTTTGTTTAAGTTTAGGTTTTTTTTGCCGGCGAAGTTTAGGTTTTCTCCATTAACTTTGCCAGATTTTTTCTCAAACAGTTAAAAAATGTAGTCTTATTCTAGGTAGATGCGTCTCGCGCCAAAAAAAGCGAACCAATTCGTCGTCGAGCATCGGATCTTTTAAATGCATTCTCGTCAACAGCTGTTTTGAAAGAAGATAATGAGCGTGCCACGGAAGAGTTCGTCGACCAACAAGATATGGAACTGGACAAGCGAAAAGTAGGTACAGCTAGTGCTTTACAAAATCAAGTTTTTTCTGTACCAATCAATCAGTCTTTGTTTTTTATTTTTTATTATTATTTTTTAAATTTATTTCCCTCTTGTCTCGTGGAACTATAATCCATTTTCGCATAAAAATTAATTTCATTTAATTATTTTGTCAAAACTGCGACCGTCATACTGACGAGGTTTAGTTGCGGTGCTGAATAAGTATGTATATGACTTAATGGACCGAAACATCTCTGTTCATCTAACTGATGTATTTTCGTGCACTTTTTGCTTTTGCATTTCGGCGAGGCGCGTCTCTGTTTTTCTTATTACTTACCTGGATGTCCATGTATCTGCCCGAAATTCTCAATTTCACAAATAGATAAGTCAAAAAGGCTTAATTTTTATTGGATAATCCCAAGTCATGAACACGGCTTAAAAAAATAAAATGACCTTTCATCCCCTATCCCAGCTTTATCCCATGTTTCAGCCCACTCCGCTGTCTAGCGCGCTACTTTTCTTTGTTGAATATTTTTAGAATTTTCTAACAATAATCATCTGCCGAACACACTGCGCCAAAAATGTATGCATACACCCTATGTTTTGGAACCTATCGCTGTTTATTTGTTTTCAGATACGTATGAATTTATCAGAGTTGGATGATGAGGGCGATTCAACGCAGGAACTGAAGTCTTGCCGGCGCTTGGACAAAACGATGTACGCTCAGACATCTGCTGTAGAACCAACGAAATATTGGACAAAACGACCAGCCGTTGACAGATTAAATCCGGAACGACTGTGTGCTGTAGGATATTCTCTGTTTTGGCTATTGGCCTTACTTTCTTAGATATTTGTAGGAACTATTTTGCCCTATCTATTAAAATGTGGGATTGGAAAATCGACTAATTTGAGAGTTTATCTCATTGTTGTCACAGGATTTAATGCGATGCTAAGTGGTATTATCTCCTTACAGACAGAAAAACTAACTTATCTTCTGTTGATTGATTCATTCTGATGCGGACTGTTAAGGATTCCCGCTGATACAAGTTAATAGGAGGAAGGGGGAGGGGAATGTGGTATTATAACCGGCATACTTTAGAGCAAAATCGCTTTCATCCAACGCCTAAGGGAACATGGAAGCATAAAATAATGGGAAGCATTCCCAGCAGGCTTTTGCTCCTGGCGAAAATGCTAACAATCGTGAACACCGCTGATCATTAGTTCACGAAATCGTTTCTCGCCAAAGAAATTTGCATATTTTTTTCCGGGGGGAGGGGGCATATGCAAGATTTAAGCACGTATAAGCGAAAATTTTGAAACGGATGGATGAGACGTGGGGTGGGAATGTAGTCCCAAAATTTTATCTTTCCAGCTTTCCTAGTTGCTCAATTTAAAAGGGGTGACAAAATTCACTCGCTTCCGAACATACACAGACATATACATACATACATACATACATACATACACGGATGGACAACCTCTCGGCAATATGTAGTTTTGCGCGCTCTATCAGCGCTATAGCGTTGCACAGCAAAAATGCATAATAAAAATGGACTTTAACCTTCATTATAAATACAGTTTTAGTGATTCCTGTGCATATGCAATTTGTTCATTTATATTTGTTCTCACAGCGGTAGTTGTTTGTGAAGCATTTTCAGTAACTGTGTTTCTCCTGTTTAAGGTTGAGCGAATAGTGAGTGGTGAGGTGGAGAGGGAGAAAACGCGCGAACTCTATCGCAGTAAACAACGGATGGCAAATATTTTAACACGAAAAATGGATAAACGCGATATCGATGAGATGGAACTGAAACTGGAGCAAACTGCTATGGGACTTTTGTTCAACAAGGAACAATTTCGAGTTCTTACCTCCAAAGAACAAAAGGTATATCATTTCCTAGAAGAGCACACATCATTCGAACATCCGGTGTAATTCTCTGTTAAATGTATTGTTTGCAAAATGTTGTAAAAATCACACGAGAAGGGAACGTACGTCTACTGTGGGGGGCACTGTTGCTTGCCTTGTTGGTAACTGGTAACAGCGATACTTTTTAGTACAGACGGATCCAAGGGAGGTAGGGGAGGGGGGTTGGAGGACGAAGAATCTTTTGTCACCGTTCAGCGGCACAGGCACCAGTGTTGCAAAAGTCCAGGTCTGAGGCTAAAACTAAAGTAAACTAAAACCTAAGGAGCTCTAAACTGATGCTTCTATCCTCGTACGTATTCAGCCCCTGTGCGCCTAACTCTCAGATATGGATACGCAAAAGTTTTGGCACCAGAATTAATAATTTGGGAACCACAAAAGCCAGGAAGCTGAAATTTTAGGAAATGTTTCCTGCCCGCGCACAACCTGAAAAAGTTAAAGTTAGCCTTCAAGTGCACCTAGCTGTCGTGTACGGACAACTGAAAGCCTAAACTAAAGTAACTCTAAGTAGCAGTGTTACAGCTATATTCCAAGTTTTTATATAGTTTCAGGGTGGGAAGGGATCCTTT